AAAGAAAGAAAGAAAGAAAGAAAGAAAGAAAGAAAGAAAGAAAGAAAAGGAGTTGGTCAGATTGAATAAAGCATAGTCAGGCCTGGTTTACGACACCCCCCCCCCCCCATATAATCCTGGCACTTGGGAGGCTGAGTCAGGTAGATCAGAATTCAAGGTTAGACTGGGCTACATACAAGATGGGATCTCAAAAAGAAGCACATTTACTCAGTTGCTTTCTAAGTCATGTCTGCTTTTTAAAAGTTAGAATTAATGAAATTTCTACCTCGGCTGTCTGTGGAATTTGTCAATCCATGGACAGCTGACAGTACTAGGAGGTGAATCTCATGATTTTCAGATTTACTGGGTAGGCTTTTGTTTGGTTTTTGTTTTAATGATTGTTTCCATGCTCCTGCTAACTTCCATCAGAGGCTGCTCTGCTAGGGTTCAAAATTTGCTTCAAATAGTCCTCAGTTCCCAGGCTCCTTAGAGCCCTAGTAATTAGTCCAAAGGGATGCCTTTGCTCACCTCAGCTTGACCCTCAGATAATGACTGTGGCACCTCCCACTCAGGGAAGCTGCTCCTGAGAGCGCCGATCACCGAAGATACAAGTTCAAGTGTGCTCTCTCTACATGGTTTCTTTTTTCAGGTCTGTTAGCAGTTCTGTCTCAGCCTCCTAAGTGCAAGGATTACAGGGAACTATCATTGTGACTAGCTGCCTTTTTTTTTTTTTCCAGCCCTTTTCTCTCAGCCTCACATGGCTGCCTTGCTTTAGGCATCATGTAAAAATGGGTAACAGGAAGAAACCCCGGGTTTCCTCGTGTGCGGTATCTGTTATGAACAAGATGTTGTCAGAAGCCCCCACAGATATTTTTCCTGTAGCCCCTGCATGCTAAGAGTATGTTAGGTCTTTTAGTCACCTGTGATAACTGTGTCTGGCTGAGCTAACGCCATGATTCACCCTAGGGACCTAAATGGTGAAGGCCTTTGCCTCAGGATGAAACAAAAACAATCACCCTCATTCCCCCCCCCCCCGACACACACACACAGTGAATAGCAGAACCACAGGAGGGCTCCGCCAGCGCAGCATGAGGCAGGATGGGTTGGGTAGGGTGGGGGCAGGAAGGCTCTGGGTAGAGCTTGGAGCACAGTGTCATGGCAGGAAAGATAAGCAACAAACTCTCCTTTATGAAGCTTAATTTTTACAACAACAGGTTTAAGATAATTTGTTTGAGTATCTGAGGAATTGTCCTGATTCCTTTCTGGAAAGAGTCAATATTTTGTATGCAAAAAATAAATATTTGGAGAAGAGTGATTTCAGAGGAACATGTATATATTTGTCAATGGCTGTATAGAGACACAGTGAAGCTTCAAGACGCACGTCTTAAGCAGCTTCCTATCTGATCTCCACAGGGGTCCTAGATTATGTATTATTTTATTGCTTCTGTCGTACCCTGAAGGTGTTGTCAGGATGTCACGCAAGCTCTGCTGGCGGAGCGCGTCTCAAGACCTAGATCTTTCTGGCTCTAGGACACTTGAAGATTCTTTCCTGATTCATGAGTTCTTCTCGACTCTCTTGATAATCAAAATTGGTTTGTCTCCAAGAGTCATTACACATCATTTACTGGTATGAAATTAGAGGGAGAATTCAGAGCTGATTGCACCTCTAGTTGACCGAGTTCGACTAAAAGAATAGGCCACCTCAGGCATTGTGTTTCTCGAAAGGTTTGGTTTTGTTTTTGAAACAGGGTTCCCCCTGTAGCTCAGGCTGGTAGCACTCACACCCGCCTGTCTCTGCTTCCCAAGTAAGTGCCTAGATTAAAGGCCTGCGTTCCACACCTGGCTTCTTCAGTTGTTGGGGTACTAGCCAAAGGAAAGTTTGACTTCATTGTTGCGGTAGTTGTTAGGGGAAGAAAAGTCAGCGGTTGGCCGCAGAGCTGTGCGGTAAGGCAGCTAGGCATCTATGCATCTGGCTGCTGCTCTTTTCCTCCTGTATTCTTCCTTACCCCTCGTGGCTCTCTTAGAAGTAGGGGATTCGCTTCCAGATCAGTCTTCTTCACTGGATCCCCGTGAAGTCCAGAGCAGTCTCGCTGAACGTCAAAATCAAGGTCCCGAGGCATGTTCCACAGAGACCCCAGTGTACATCACCTTCTGACTGGCCCCAGAACCAGCTTCCATGAGCTGTTCCAGGTGGAGCCGATCCCCAAGCCCAGCCACGACCCCACAGTCCTCAGCGTTATTTATACATCCCTTCATCTGGCCTGGCCCCTCCATAATCTCAAAACTTCTAGGTGAATAAGTAACCAAGACCCTGACTTTAGATGTGTTGTATTCTAAGGGGAATAACGAACGGACTGATAGATGTTGATAGGCAACTGAAAAAAGCCAGTCCAGCCCCAGGAAGGATTCCTCCTGTTTCATTGCCTCTCTAGACAGGCTCATCATGAAACACAGTATTGTCTCACACGAAATACCTGCTGAGATTTTAACACTTACTGACTGCTGCGGGTAATCCCGTGTTTCTTCTCTTAGTTTCCTACACTGGGTCAGGTACCTGCTGCTGTGCACGTCACCACTCTAAGATGAAGGGCTTACAACAGCCGGTGCTGCACATCAGTCCAGGGGAATCTCTCTTTTTGGTTCACTGGATCAGTTACCTCACAGTGTTGTAGAGTGTGCTTGTGTGACATGATACTGGCAGTAACAGCTGGTGTCTGTCATGTGCACTGTCTGGCACCGACTAGGTCATTTACGGGTACCATTTCAGTCTCCTAACAAGGCCAGAGGTCCAGTATGTCCAGTGCCACACAGCGCCCCCTGCGTTCTGAGTGTAACTTTACCTGAGTCCAGATGAGTCTAGTGACTGACTGGTTTTCCTACTTGTGATCTACCGTCACGCAGCGCTGCAGCTGGGCCTGTCTTCCCTGTGCAGGTCGGAATGCTGAACTCTGCAGGATCTCAACCTACACACCGGAGGGCTCAGGTTGGGCTCCTGGCCACTCACGGCTTTGGCCACTGCACCTGCTGTTTTATTATAATAGGAAGCTCAAAGTCCCCTAGACTGGGAGAAGACCTGACTTTGGGCTACACTACATTTCCCTTCTTCTTAAACCAGAGCTGTTTTGTTAATTTTCTTTATAATTTTACAGATTTAAAGGAATTGGAGAAATCATAAGTGTAAACTGCCATTCTGGCAGTTGAACCATCAGCCTCTGCCCAGCTTTGTCTCCTGAGAGTCAGGCATCTGCTCTGTTCCCAGCAGCCCAGCCTCTCTTGCTCTCCTGGATTGCACTCTACAGCCATCTTGAGTTTCGTTGGTTTTCTTGATGCTGAGGGAATGTCTACTTTAGTCTGTCTAGAGTTTTTCCTATGTTTCTTAGACTGTGAATAAATAAATAAAAGAAAGCTTGGCAGTACAGTTAACTGGTATTGGAACTCAGAGAGGCAGTCTGGTAATGTAGCTCAGTAGTGGAGGACATTCCCAGCCTGGCCAAGACCAAGAAGATTGGTCCCTAATAGCGGAAAAAGTTGGGGGGCTCACAGAGCAGCAAACCTTTAATCAGTCATGATATGGTCAAGCTGAAAGGATTGTGTTGTATTTAATTGAGGATCTATTTGTATAAAGTGACCAGCACAAATTAATTCTATGGATGGCATCTATATGTTGTTTTCTAATAGGATGATTCTGAAACTCAAGATCTCAGTGGCCCTTGGGTCGATCAAGGGCCCAGTCTAGTCTTTATGCCAGGCACCAGTTGCAAAGGCTGATTTCTAAACATATCGTCCTAAGACACCTTGACTCTTCAAAAGAGAGGAGTCCTTGCCTGGGAAGCCTAGAGTGTGGCTATAGAGATTGCCTGTGTTCCTGTGGCTCAGGGACCATCCGTTTTTCCAAACCTCTAATTCAGCTTCTCTTTTCCAGGGCCCGGTCATATACGCACAGTTAGACCACTCTGGTGGACATCACAGTGGCAAGATCAATAAGTCAGAGTCCGTGGTGTATGCGGACATCCGGAAAGACTAAGAGAACCCCCCAAACATACCTTAAGCAATGAAAGAAACGCAAATTGGACTCTTGTGCAGAAGATGCTCGTAACCACGCATGGCCTTGAGGACTCAGGCAAGGACGAGCACATGTCTACTCAGAGAGAAGGAAAAGTGTACAAAGGATGTGTATATTCTATTTAATCTCCCTGATGCGCAGGGCCGGTGTTGCATGATGAAGAAGTGGTATGAGTCTATGTATGTATAAATTGTCTTACTGTTTCTGTATATTCTTGCAGAGAAGTTTCTAAGTGGGAAGTTTCAGAAACATCCCTACCATCCGGCGATAACGGTTGCCTTCCTGGAGACTCCGCAGAACCGTTTAGTATTTCCAGCAGACGTGGCCTTTTCATCTAAGGGCTCAACCAGTCTTAGCATTTCTCGATTTCTTGTAGCTAGAGAAAGATGTTCAGTGGAAGTGTGTTTCTCACGGTATCAGAACCATTTATTCCATGCTAGCTTATAGACACTGTCCATTAACCGTGCCACCTGAGGACAGTTTGGGATGTTTTTGTTGTTGCTTTTCTAAAATAGGAGGGGATTCTCAGCTTTAGATTGTCCTCGTCACCAGCTTTCTGTTACCTAAGCTCTCACCAGTGAGCTTTTGTCAGCGTGCACACAGCACAGCTGGCTGAGGCTGTGTTCCTGGTTAAAAGGGTACAAATTACAGAGCCCAAGCATGATGTTAACGTCAGAGGAAGCCAGAATTCTTTTTCTTCTTCCTAGCGACTTTTATTCATTTCTATGAATGAACGGCACATTCCAGACACAGGTGCTGTGCCACCTCCTTGCAGTGCTGGGACCGTGGATGTATGTGAGACGCTCTGTGGGTTTTGCTCAGATGGCATCTCTTCTTGGCCATCTACAGCTGGCTCCATGACCTCCCTGCCCAGTCAGAGCCCAGTCCCCTGTCCCAAACCTGCTTTCTTCCCCAGGTAGAAGCAGTTAGCTGCCTGCATCCTGGGACTAGGTCTGCAGCGTGGTTCTAGCTGCCTGCAGGACAGTGCACAGACCCCATGTCCTAGCTCCACACACCCCCTCTCTGCAGTCCCCAGGCTCTTTCCTGACTACAGATAACAGTGAGGTCACGTCCAGAAGGCAGAGCTGCCCTTCCCAGGTCTTCCGACTGGAAGAGTGAGGCCTAAAACTTCCGCGCGAATTATGACAGGACACCTAAAAGGGCCGGCTTACAGACGAAAATTCTTGTCTGTGTTCCTCCTGGAAATGCATCCGGCTAGGGAGCGATATCAAGTTCATTGTTACTTTCTGATATTTTCTTTTGTACTTCTGTGGATATTTTAATACATCTTTTTCAATTTCCGAATGGTGTTTGCTTGTTTCTAATCAAACAGAAGAAGAGGTGAAAGCCTTTTCATTTGAACCCCTGCAGCTATTCAAACCCCTACCCTTGAAAGGAGCCGCCTGTGTGCCTCCTTCAGGGCTTAAAACAGAACGTAGGCAGATGTTTGTGTGTGGTCTGTTCCTAGCCTAAGGCTATGTTCAGATGTCTCCTTAGAGAGACCTTGCGCAACATATAAAAGCCACCTCAGGCCAGAGAGATGGTGCGGTGGGCCTGACAAACTAAGTTAGGCCCCCAGTCCTCTGACCTTCTCTCTCTCTCTCTCTCTCTCTCTCTCTCTCTCTCTCTCTCTCACACACACACACACACACACACACACACACACACACACATCTAAAATGACTTGAAATAACATAGCCACTCCCTAGCCCACCAATTCCGCTCTGTGTCTGTCAGCTGAGTGTTCACTCTGATCCCCCAACAAGAACGTGAATAGCAAGACTTTTCTGTCTTGTCCATGGCTCCACCCACTGTAGAAAAGCACCCTGCACTTTACAGCTGCTTACGAATGCTTGCTGGGTGGGTGTATCTTTCCCTTCAGCAAGAGACGCTGAGAACTGTCCTGAGCCAGGCAGTGTGCTGAGCGTGAGGAATTGAAGAGGATGAAGATAAGCTTGGTGAAGAGATGATGGCTGTTGGCCTTTCTTACTCTCCTGTTGCACACTGACTGGGGCCAGCTGTGCTAACCTTGCTTAGGTTACATAGTTTGCCCAAACACTGTCACTTAGCAATGAGCATCGAAGCTGGAAATGTTTAGTCTAAAGGAAAAAAAACAAAAACAAAACCACCTCATTTCTTCTCTATTCCAATCAGTTTCCGCACGCCTAGTGGCAGTTTTCTCCCAGTTTTTCTCCAGGAGCTGGGTATAGGGCAGGGAAAGGGCAGGTGACGGAGGCATAGCTGTTCAGGGGTCTTGGTTTCAGGTTGAAGACAGTGTGGTGGAAATAGAAAAAGCTAAAACTACATGATGACTTAATCTAGCAAAAGCTGTACCACAAATACCACCACTGACCAAACAAGGGTTGGTGCTTTTGTGTGTGTGTGTGTGTGTGTGTGTGTGTGTGTGTGTGTGTGTTGCTGGTTACCAAGGATACGAAGTGAGTCCCTGGCTCCCTGGCTGGGAGAGACAGATTCCTTGGGGATTTTCAGCATCTACATTTCTCTCAAGGGAGAACTTGGTGTTGCTGGCCTTCCTCCTGCTTCAGGGCTTCTCAGGAAACACCAGCCCTATCCGAAGCCTCTCATGGAGCCCTGGGCCCCACAAGCTGAGCTGGGCTAAGAGAAAGCCTCTGGGATTCATTCTGAAAACAGAGGGATGACCTTGATGGCGGATGGATTTTGGATTTAATCCTGCCCTGCCCAGGGAAGGTGAGCCTTTTCGGAGGAGGAGCCTGGCCTCTGGGGCACTGGTAGAAATGGCAGGGGCTAACCCTTTCCTGGTGGCGGCACTTCCTTCCTGTAGAATCAAGACTGTGGTTCTGAACACACTTGAACATTCGGAAAAGAAGAGTAAAGTCAGTCTCCAGGTGTGGCAGTACATACTTGTCCTCCTGACACTTGGGAGGTTGAGGCAGGAGGATTGGGAATTGGACTATGTGAAATAGTCTCAAAAATTAAATAAAACCCCAGACAAACCAGATCAGAACTCTTAAGGGTAGCAGGCACACACACAGTACACATGCCTACGTGCAGACAAAAACTAATACACATTAAACCTAAAAATGAAAACACAGACAAGGATAATGGCACATGCGTGAAACCCATTACTACTGTGCTAACCTCGAAGGGTTAATTAAAAATATGGATCCATACATAAGAACAACATCATCTTATCATGTTAAGAAAGCACATGTCACCGTGTAAGTGCGGAAGGCAGCAGACAGCTTGGTGAAGTTGGCTCACTCTGTTGACCATGTTGGGTCCTCCAGAACAGTCCCTTGTCCGTTTATCAGGAAGCCCTCTTACTCCCTGAGCCAGCTCCGTGGCCAAACATAAACACTTTGAAAAAAAAACATTCTGAAAGCCAAAGTCTTGGTTTCATCTATTTCCCTCTGTATAGTCAGATTTCTTTTGTGAAACAAGTGGTTTCTTCAAATCAGGATCCAAACATGGTCCCAGTGAAGAGTTTTGGGGTAGGGAATGAGGGAAGTCTATCTTAAAACCAAAAATGGGATCATGATACCCTTGCAGTTCACCTTTGTTGTCCTTTAGCTTTTTGCCAGAGAAGTTTCCACACCAGTAAGTAAGGAAGCAGCCATCAGTCACTCAGACCTACCAACACCATGGCATTTTAAGCCGTTACTAAACTCGAAGACATTTTAGGCTGTTCCCAGTTCTTACTAGTAACTCTGTGGTTATCTGTCCTTATGAACTCTTAGAGAGAAAACAAAACAAAACTGCCAAATGTAAATTTTCAGGCAGAGGAATCACAGCTTGGTCGGGGTCAGAAATTTTCAGGCTCTTGGAAATGGGACCTAACATCTGTCAGTGGGGGGGGACCCCGGGCCCCTCCCTCCTCACATCCTTCCCGAAGCCTCTGGGAGCTGACAGGAAAGCCTGACTTTGTGGGTTGGAAGAAAAACATTTGGGAGCAGACGGCAGGAGGGAGCCCAGGGATCAACAGGAGAGTGGGCTGTGTTTACCAGGAGGGAAACACAGACCTCTCAGGCTCAAAGGAGTCCCTGGGGACCTGCCGCTTCCAGCTTCCATTTCCTCCTGCAAACAGGATGTGAAACTTCATTGTCCTTTCTTGGCTCTGGCATCCGTTTCTGTGCTGTGGGCTTTGTGGTGTGGCCTTTATAGTGTTCCAGCATTTTAGGGCAGGTTGGTATTTTTTTTTTTTTTAAGTCTCACTAAAATCTGAGGCACAAAGTTGGCTGTATTTATTAATATTCACACTCTTGCTTCTGCTTCTTGCCATCAGAGCTGTGTGGTTGCGGTGGACAGCTCTGCCTTTGAGGAAACTAACCAAAGTCAAACATTGGCACCTGAACCACGGCTCTGCTTGGATGAGGGGAATAAAGCTAAAGAGAAGCTGGCCTTTGGCTGGAGGCTTCCCTCTAAGGAGACTAAAAGTTTAATATAGACCATATTCGTGTTTCTTTCGCCTTAGAATAGAACGTTTTTAAAAAGATCTGTAAATTATATTGTGAGTGTGCACACCTGTGTGCCCCTCAGTGCACACGTGGAGGTCAGAGGACAACCTTCCTGAGTCTGTCACTTCATTGTTAACCGTGTGGACTCCAGGGATTGAATTCAGGTCTCACTCGGGTGAGTGAAGAACCTTCACCCATGAGACTATGTTATCAGCCCTTGAACTTTTTTTCATTATGTTTTTTTCTTTATCTTTTAAACATGATTACTAGTTATTGTTTCGTTTTCTTCTTTTTTCATTTTTTTTTCCTTCTTCTTGACAGGGTTTCCCTGTGTAGCCCTGGCTGTCCTAAAACTCACTCTGTAGACCAGGCTGGCCTCGAACTCAGAGATTCGCCTGCCTCTGCCTCCCTGAGTACTAGTTATTAATCTGAGACAGGGTTTCTCTGTGTAGCCCTAGCTGGCCTGGAACTCACTCTGTAGGCCAGGCTGACCCAAACTCAGAGATCCACCTTCGTCTGCCTCCTGAGTGCTGGGATTAAAGGCGTGTGCCGCCACCACCCAGCATAACGCTTACTAATTTAAAACTATGTGTATGTTGGGGGGGTGGTGGTGTGTGTACGTGCATGAAGGCACACACACATCAGTGCTGGTGCTGGAGGACACCTCAGCTGTCCCCTGGAGCTGAGGTACAGTGTTGGTTGTGAGCTTCATGACACGAGTGCAAGGGAAGTATGGGTTTTTAACTGCTGAGCCAGCTCTACAGCCCCACAAAGTGGTTTTGTTTTTTTTTTTTTTTTTTTTTTTTTTTTAACTAGATGAACTGAGTTCTGCCTTCATTCTGCAGACAACCTTTTGGAATGTTCAGTGGGACCCATAAGAATATGGAACATTTTAGAAAACTCTGACCTCATTCTTGCCGGCCGAGCAGGACCCAGAGGTTTGTTTATGATGTAGCTAGCTGGGTGTCCCTGGTCTCTTCCTTGTAAACCTGGCCTCCAGGACATTGCCCTGGCGGAGGGAGAATGTTCTGAAAGCTTGCTGGAGGATCTTGGTCCAAGAATGCAGCGCATCCCTTCAACACGCGGCTGTTGGCAGCTGCCACACACCACGCTGCCTCTTCTGCCAGAAACACCGGAGTTTATGACACTGGAGGACTATGGTGTGTGCCTCTGGCAAGGAACTCGTGTGGTAGAGAGAGTCCTGCCATGAATCCCTCAGACACAGGGCTCGAGGCCTCACACCCCAGGCTCTTGGCTGGGCCAGTATCTTAATGTTGACTGATTGAGGTTGGACAAGGGAGAAAAATGCGAGGGAACAAAATGAGATAAACAAGAGAGCTAGTATATGCCTGTTAAAAACTGGCCCCCTTGCACATCCTGCCAGGAAAAAAAAAAAAAAAAAAAAAGGCAAGAGGAAGTTCAAGATTTGGGTTCCCTGTCCAAAATCTCATGCCTGGGGTCTCATAGGCCCCAGGGGATAACCTGCTACTATTAATTTTGATAAATGAACATTGTGTCAAACTGCCTTCTGAATAAATTCGCATCTCTGAACCCATCTCTCAGTCTTCATCAGAGACGTTTCTTTGTGTGGTGGTAAGTAGGAAGACACAAGTAGGCAAAGTGCTAGAGAAGGTGTCTTTGGGGTACGTGGCCGTAAATGGGCCGTCTGTATCACACATCCCTCCCACCCAAGGCTCCCAGGACATCACAGAAGAGGTGGGTAAGAAAGACTGTAAAAGCAATCTTGAGGAGGATTGAGACTAAACAGCGTCTCCTGGACTTGGCAGGACAGAATATACTCACAAACGCAGCCGCTGTAGTTGCCTGCAGAAGACCAAACCAGTCCACACGATCCTGCGTGGGCA